AGGAGGCTAGCGCGGGGCCGATCGGGGGCCGTGAGAGGCTAGCGCGGGGCCACACGGGGCCTTGAGAGGCTAGCGCCGGGCCGTAAGGGGCCTTAAGAGGGCGACGCGAGGGGCCGTGAGGGGCCTTAAGGGGCGACGCGAGAGGGCCTTAGGGGGCCTTAAGAACGAGGCGCTCGAGGCGCAGGAAAAAGGCGGCGCACGAGGGCGCGGCTAGCGGAAACGGTGGGCCCTATCGTTTCGGTCCTAGGTGGAACCTAGGCTCGTAATACCATGTCAGAATCAGAAACGAGAATGAATGACTAGAATGAGTGTTGGGTACAAATAGGTCAAACCTAACCCTAGAAATGTGTACCCACTATAGGCTAACCCACTGTAGCCTAAACAAGCACATCATACAATGTTTGACATCAAAGTGGGGTGTAATCAGCACAACAAGCAAAGCACAACAAGCTCTGGGTGGATCACAATGTCACCACACATTCTGAGCACAAGTACAAGAAGCAACAGTTCAAAATTCACAAATGTAGGCAAAGCTAGAGGCTTTCATAGAGGGCAAGTGTGGAGGAGGAGGGACTATGAGATGAGAGGAGGTAGTGGGCGGCAGCTGAAGCTGCTGGCACACGGCGCAACTGGAGCAACTGGCACACGGGCAACTGGAGCAACTAGCACACTGGCAACTGGAGCAACTGGCACACGGGCTACTGGAGTAACTGGCTCCGCGACTAACTCTGAGCCGCAGGAGCAACGGACTCATGGGCGACTGGAGCAATGGGCTCACGGGCGACTGGCGCAACGGGCTCACGGGCGACTGGCACAACGGTCTCACGGGCGACTGGAGCTGCGGGCTTTACGGCGGCCACCTCCTTCAACCTCCCCAAACTATCCCACCCCCAATTCACACACCCCCTACTGCACCCCTAGGTTCACTCACACCCCACCCCCTAGCACCACTCCGTCGACTCCCACATACCCATCCCCCTCAGCGGCAGCTGCAGCAGTGGGAGACAGAGGAGGAGGAGGAGCAGGGGAGACCACACACCCGCCACCCCCCACTCGCCACCCCCAGACCCTAACACAGGGCAAGGCAGGATGGCGGGTAGGGAGGTTAAGACGGGGGGGGAGGGGGGAAGGGGGGGGCCAACGCGCGGCCTCCCAGGGCGCCAAAGTAGGCGGCAGAATGGGCGACACTCGCCCCCCCCCCCCCCCCATGCGGCCCCCTCAGGTCGCCTCGACAGGCGACGGGAAAACAAGGGGGGGGGAGGGGGGGGGTGGTGCACGGGTCCCTGGTGCGCCGCGCCAGGCGACGAAGCATGGCCGGGGCGGGGCCGGGGCAGGGTCGGGGCAGGGCCGGGGCAGGGCCTCGATAGGGGCGGCGACGGGGCCGCAAAGGGCGGCGACGGGGCTGGTAGAGGCGGCGACAGGGCCGCTAGAGGCGGCGACGGGGCCGCGAAGAGCGGCGACGAAGCCGCTAGGGGCGGCGACGGGGCCGGTAGAGGCGGCGACGGGGCCACTAGAGGCGGCGACGGGGCCGCAAAGAGCGGCGACGGGGCCGCTAGGGGCGGCGACGGGGCCGCGAAGGGCGGCGACGTGGCCGCGAAGGGCGGCGACGGGGCCGCTAGGGGCGGCGACGGGACCGCTAGGGGCGGCGATGGGGCCGCGAAGGGGCCGCGAGGGGCCTGGAAGGGCGGCGACGCGCCGCGAAGGGGCTGCGAGGGGCCAAGAAGGGCAGCGATGGGGCCGCGAAGGGGCCGCGAGGGGCCTGGAAGGGCGGCAACGGGGCCGCGAAGGGGCCGCGAGGGGCCTAGAAGGGCGGCGACGGGGCTGCGAAGAGTAGCGCAAGGGGCACGCCACGGGGCGTGCAGCACATAGAGTAGCAGCGGAAGCAGTTAGGTGGGCCCACAGGCCATGAGCGTAGATGCTCTGGTAGCATGTGAAGAATGAGGAATGAAAAAGAGAGGGGTTCACTAGCAAACATTGGGATAGATATAGCAAACCCTAAAAGGGTTGTACTCACTATAGAGTACCCCACTGCAGACTAGAGAAACATAATATTCTGACATTGTCTAGGCGGAGGAGGAGAGACATATCAAAGGTGTCCTCGACTACTGCGCTTAGTGTGGCGGTGAACCCACATCGCCATGTTGCAGGTGACGTCACGAACGTTGTTTTTTTGGGTGGCCTTTCCGAGTCAACCTGAGGTGGTTTGCGTAGGGCAGACGGATGGTCCAGAAGACAGTCGGTTTGCCTAGCGCGAAAGTTCGGGGCCATAGTTTGGGTTTTTGCGCGGCGCGAGGTCTTGTCGTGGTCCTGAGAGACAGCGTTCTGTGGAGTGTTTGATGGTCTTGCGGGTTTGCAGTAATATTGACGTCGGCATGAGTCGCGGGGTCATTGCTGATCGTGATGAGAATGAAAGGCTATTTGCTCGCAGCGCGCTCCCTATTCTTGGTTAATGTCCATATCTTGCTGCCCGTGCAGCAAGGTGGCGCAGAGGTGTGCTTATGAAATTATGCCCTGCTGGCAAAGCAGGGCTTTTCAGGGGTCCATTGGTGTCCCACGCCCCAAAGCACGATCATTTTTTTTTTTGGCTTTAAGGAGATCCCTGGAGGAAAGCAGGCACCCTGAGGGGCAGGCGCTTCGTAGCAATATACTCGGTTGTGCAAAGCTCCGCAAACATTAGATTATGTTTGATTATGCTAAATATCACACATGTTACAATCTGGAATGTCCGTATCGTGTTGCCACGTGTAACCTTCGAGTGCGGTTATATCGAAACTGAAACGAGAATGATCAAGTTTAACTAGGGCCTAGGCTTAGGAGCCTAGGCCCAACTAGGATGTCGAGTAGTTTGTGCCTAGGGTGAGAGTCGAGAAAGTTGGAAAGGATGGTTTCACTATAGGTTTCGAAGAACATATAGCAAAGGAAACAAATAAGGTGCACCACCAAACAAAGTTTATAATAGCTACACTAACTACAGCTATAGGCAGTTACAAATATAAGTTCTGACACTCCCCCATAACTGCCTGCAGCAGGTTTTTGTGCAGAATACAACCTGTAGGGGTACACATGCAAAATAATAAACAAGCAACAGCAGGTACTGCAGGCGGGCTAACACTAGGTGGTCACCCCCTCCATCTCCTCACCCTCCTCCTTCCCTTCCCCCACACTGCTGCATGAGCAGTAGAGAAGGGGGGAAGAGAGGAGAGGTGGAGGGACGGCTGCTGGTTGCCTCACACCCGCCACCCCGGTGCCACTCCCCCGTCTCCTCCACACCCTCACACCCTCCCCCCCAGCGGCAGCTGCAGCAGTGGGAACGAAAGGAGGAGGAGGGGAAGGGAAGGATACGACCCAACGCTCCAACACCCGCCACCCCCATACCCTCCCCCCCACGGCTGCAGGGAGACAAAGGAGGAGGGGGTGGGCGGGAAGAAAGCCGCACAGCGGCTACAATGTGTCGGCGCAGGTAGGTCAGGGGCGGCTGCAGTGAGAGCAGGTGCAGAGAGGCCCGTCGCGTGCCACGAGGCGCACGACGGGTAAGTTTAAGGTAAGGGAACCGTCGTGTGCCTCGGGGCGCACGACGAGCAGGGCACCGTCGCATGCCACGGGGCGCACGACGGGCAGGTTTAGGGCACCGTTGCGTGCCACGGGGCGCGCGACGGGCAGAGTAGGAGTCACTCGCCAACCGAGGGCGGGACAATAGAAAATCGCCACGCGCCCTAGGCGCGCGACCGGAAAAACGTAGCAGCGGAAGCATGAGGCGGGCCCACAGGCCAGGACGTAACTCGCTCTCATAGCATATCGAAACTGAAACGAGAATGATCAAGTTTAACTAGGGCCTAGGCTTAGGAGCCTAGGCCCAACTAGGATGTCGAGTAGTTTGTGCCTAGGGTGAGAGTCGAGAAAGTTGGAAAGGATGGTTTCACTATAGGTTTCGAAGAACATATAGCAAAGGAAACAAATAAAGTGCACCACCAAACAAAGATTATAATAACTACACTAACTACAGCTACATAGAGTTACAAATATAAGTTCTGACAGGTTACGGGGCGGTGAAGAGTCGAGACCGTTGACTGTCAGAAACATAGGCGAGAATCAGAAACAGGAAAGAGGGCTTTCACTAGCAGGCAGTTGAGTACATATAGCGAACCTAATTTGGGTTGTACTCGCTATAGAGTACCCCAATGCAGGCTATACAAAATCACATTCTGACACACCTCCATAGTCAAAGTGGGGTATAATCAGCATAGCAAGCAGTCATAGAGCAGGTTCACAAATACCTGCAAAGCTAGAGGCAGTCACAGAGGGCAACAGAGGATGAGGAGAGTCTGTGAGAGGAGTGGAGATACAAGGCAACGAGTAACGCCCCAGACACACAGGCAATAGGAACGGCGCGCACGGTGGCTACCAGAGCAGGCAACCTACAGATTACAGGAGTAACTGGCTCCGCGCTAAGCTGCAGGAGCAACGGACCCACTGGCGACTGGCGCAGCAGGCTCGCTGGGCTACCGGAGTACTCAACCCCCGGACTACTGGCGCTGCTGACGTCACAACAGCTACCTCCGGTCAAACCTCCCCCAACTGTCCCACACCCCTTTCACACACCCCCTGCTGTACCCCTAGCGCTCCTCACCGCCACCCCCCTCGTACCACTCCGAGAGCTCCAACACATCCACCCCCCTCAGCGTCAGCTGCAGCAATGGGAGACAGAGGAGGAGGAGGAGCAGGGGACGGCGCACACACTTGTCACCTCCATACTCGCCATCCCCATGTTAAAATATATACTGTGTAGCATGCCAACACATGTGACTGTACACCAATTGTGGTATACAAATGGGTTGGGACTACACCCAACTTTGGGTGTAGTCTTGCACTTTGGGGTGCCAATCCACCCAATTGTGGTGGAGCCCCCAAATGCAACCCTCTTGACTTCTGGGTACCTCACTTCCCACAATTGAGGTTCCCCCAAGCCAAGTGGGCCTAGGGTTGCCTCACTTCTACAAAGTATGGGCAACCCAACCCACTTGACCTATGGTTCCCTCATCCCCCCAAGTGAGGTCAACCCAACCTATGGTCACTTTGATCCTTCCCTTCCATCCTTCCCTTCCAACCTTTCCTTCCAACCATGTATGCTAGGTTGCCTCTCTAATCCAATCACTTGTTCAATTCACAATCTTCACATGGTATAGAGCTAGTTGTTCCTAAGCCTTTTCTCTCCCTCCCTCAAAGTTTTTCTTCCCCATAGGCCCACCCCATAGCCACAAACCCCCTATGTGTGGCTCAACCTAGCACCTCCTTGGCACGCCCTACGCCGTCGCCACTCTTCCCTCCCTCCTTGGCACAACCTACGCGAGTGCATCATCGCCCCCCGTCGCCGCGACACACCGTCACTGCCCCCCCCCCCCCCCCCCCCCCTTCTTTTTTTTCCGCCGCCGCGCCTTCTCTGGCGCCACCTGCGCATCCCGCCGCCACGCCTCGTCGCCGCCTCCTCCTCCCCCTGCAGCGACCCCCCGTCGCCGTCTCCCTCCCGCCGCCGCGCCTACTTCGGCGTCGCCCGCGCATCCCTCCACCGCGACACCCCGTCGTCGCTTGCCCCTCCCGCTGCCGCGACGTCGCGTCGCCGCCTCCCCCTACCGCCGCCGCGCCTTCCTCGGCACCACCTGCGCATCCCGCCGTCGCGACGCCCCGTCGTCGCCTCCCGTCCCGCCGCCGCGATTTCGCGTCGCCGCCTGCGCACCCCATCACCGCGACCCCCCTGTCGCCGCCTATGCATCCCGCCGCCGCGACCCGCTCATCGCCGCCTGCACGATCCGCCGCCGCGACTTCGCGTTGCCGCCTACGCATCGCGCTGCCGCAACCTTCTCGTCGCCGCCTGCACGACCCGCCGCCGCGAATTCGCTTCGCCGCCTACACGACCCGCTGCCGCGACTTCGCGTCGCCGCCTGCGTATCTCGCCGCTGCAACCTTCTCGTTGCCGCCTTCACCCCTTGTCGCCACAATCTAAAGTCGCCGCCTGCGGGACCTTTTGCTGCGACGTGCTCGTCGCCGCCCGCACATCTCGTCGCCGCGACCTAAAAATTGCCGCCCCCGCATCTTACCGCCGCGATCTACTCGTCGCCGCCCGCGCATTTTGCCGCCTCGACTCCCTCGTCGCCACCCGCGCATTTCGCCGCCGCGCCTTCCTCGTAGCAGCCGCCTCATCCCTCAGCAGTAGCGTCATTGGCAGCAACAGCCCCGCCCACACCTACACATGCGTTCTCCCTCCCACTCCCCCTTTCCTCTTCCTCTCCTCCCACGCAGCAGCAGCCGAGACACCTCAGCAGCCACAACAGCAACAGCAGCAGCACCGGCAGCGGCGGCAGCAGCGGCAGCAGCTGCATCCACCATCTTCCTCCCCCTCCTCCCCTCCCTCCCCCTCTCCTCCCTCTCAGCACCATCAGCGGCAGCAGCGGCATCAGCGGCAGCAGCAGCAGCGGCGGCAGCAGTGGCAGCAGCTACATCCACCATCTTCCTCCCCCCTCCTCCCCTCCCCCCCCCCCCCCTCTCCTCCCTCTCAGCAGCAGCAGCGGCAGCAACGGCATCAGCGGCTGCAGCGGCAGTAGCCGCAGCGGCGGCAGCAGCGGCAACAGCTGCATCCACCATCTTCCTCCCCCTCCTCCCCTCCCCCCCCCCCCCCTCCTCCCTCTACAGCGGCAGCAGCGGTAGCATCGGCAGCAGCGGCAGCAGCAGCAGCAGCGGCAGCATCAGCAGCAGCGGCAGCAGCAGCAGGAGCAGCCAAAGAAGACCTCCACTCCCCGCAGCAGCACCCCCCCCCCCCTCCCCCCCCCCGGCCCTCCTCCCTCCAGCAGCCGATGCCGCATTCCTCCACGATCCCCGCAAATACCTCATCCGCAAGGCGGAGCATGAGGTTGCGGTACATAACTACGACTTCGCGGTAGCGGAACGCGCCAATCGCCTGGCGCTCCTTGATGAATACAATATGGCCATGGCGGACTACCTCCCTCGGAGCATCGCGTGGGCCACTGCTGATAACCGCGCCTGCACCATCCTCCTCGGCGCACTCCCTGGTACCCTCATGCGCCATTTCCAAGCTCGCGAGATGCGCGCCTCCCTCATCTGGGCCGAGCTCCAGGCGATGTTCGAGCGTCGCAACATCAGCTCTGTCGGCGCCCTGTTTCAGGAGTACTTCTCCACCACCCTCGCCACTTGTGATGGCGCAGTTGACTACGTGGGGCGCATGCAGGAGGTCGCTGATCGCCTTGCGGCACGCCAAGCTGCCCTCCCTGAGCCTCTGCAAATCCACCGCCTCCTCTACAACCTCACCTTGGACTACGAGTCCCGCCTCCATGCCTTCACTGAGGCCAACCCCATGGCCGGCCTCGACGACGTGGTCCAGTGGATCATTGACACGGAGGTCAAGATTTGTACCCCCGTTGTCAACCTTACCACCCCTCAGTCCTCCTCCTCCACCTCCCTCAACGCTACGCAGCCGCGCAACCAGGGTGGTCGCAGCGGCGGCGGCGGAGGCCGTGGTGGTGGCGGTGGTGGTGGAGGCCGTGGTGGTGGCGGTGGTGGTAGTGGTGGCCGTGGTGGCCGTGGTGCCGGTGGAGATGGTGCTGGCAGCGCCCCTGCTGGAGGACCTTCCGGTTCTGGTGGTGCTGTGACTCGAGGCGGACGCCCTGGCACTCTCCCCCCATCCACATATGTGCGCCGCCATGGTCCCCATGCTGGTACCCCTTGCGGCCAGACCAACCATCCCCCCACCACGTGCTTTAAGGCACTCGACGACGCCTGGTTTGATCGAGGCAACACTGGCATCCCTCCTCGCTGGAACTCGATCGCACCTCGCCCCACCTTAGTGGATATTCAAACCCTCCCCTCTTTCCTCCTTGCTCACCCCCGCATGGTTACCCCCTCCCCACCCTCACAGCTGCAGCAGTTTCAGCAGCACCAGCAACAGCAGCACCTGTACTTCCACCAGCAGCAGCAACAGCCGCAGTTTCTCCAGCCCCAGCAGCCGCCGCCGCCGCAGTTCTTCCAGCCACCGCCACAGCAGCAGCAGCAGTTCCTTCCCCCACCCTGGCAGCAGCATTCACTCACCTTCGGCATGGCGGCCATGGCTGCTCATACCTCCCTTCCTCCTCCTCCCCCCTGGGGTTCCCTCCCCTCCCCCCTCCCAAGTGTTCCCGACACTTCTGGTAGATTCCTTGGTAATATCACTGTTGCACCGTCCGTTGCTGCCATGTATCCCTCTGCTATCAATGAGACTTCGTTTCAGTATCCCGTCCCACCCCCTCATCCCTCTTCTCCCACCCTGGACTTTGTCCTTGACAGTGGAGCCACTGAAACCGCACTGAAAGATGCTGGCACTCTCACCCCACTACCACTTCCCACTCAAGTTCATGGAGCTGATTCCAGCTTTCCATTCCATGCACTCACCTTTCCACCCTCCCTTGCACTGCCTTCCCCTCCGGTAAGGTCACAGGTCTCCACATCCCCACTCTCCGCAACAACCTCCTCTCCCACCGTGAGCTCCAAGGTGTTGGTATCACTGCCATTTACCCCGGCTATGCCAATTACTGTGATCTCTACCCGACCTCCTCCGGTCGCTTCCTTCTCCGCATTCCGCTTTGCCCCCGCACTCGCCTCTACACACTCCGCACACCTCGCACATCTTTCTGCCACGTCACCACTCGTTCCGATGCTTCCACCGGTCCACCTCCTCCTCCTTTACTTCCCCCTTCCCCTCCCACTCAAGTAACCTCTTCTCCCTCCCCACCATCCCCCTCCTCCCCTCCCGTTCCTTCCTTTACCCCATCTCCCTCCTCCGCTGCACTCTCCCACCCTGCTGTCCTCTTACACCACAGAATCGGCCATCCCAACTTCACCGCCCTTCGCACCACAGTCACCTCTCGCCTCCTCCGCAGCCTTCCTCCCGTCTTACCTCCCCTTTCGTCCTCCCCCCCCCCCCCCATGCCCTTCATGCACTCACGGCAAGCTCAAACAGTCCGCCCACCACAGTCATCCCACCTTTGCTGCCGCCCCCATTGACCTTGTGCACATGGACCTCTGGGGCCCCTATCCCATCCGCTCCCGCCAGAGGCATCGGTGCATGCTCGTCCTCGTTGACGACCACAGCCGGTACTCCACCAACTTCTTCCTTCACACGAAAGACCAGGTGCCGGCAGTGGTCATCAACTGGGCCGAACAGTGCCGCAATCACTTCAAACGCCCCATTGGCCTCCTTCACTCTGATGGTGGGGGTGAGTTCATCAATAACACCCTTGCCACATACTGCGCCACCTACGGCATCCAACAGACCTCCACCCTTCCCCATTCCCCTCAGCAGAACGGCATTGCTGAGAGCCGCATTTGTGAGATCACCAAGATTGCTCGCTGTCTCATTGCTCATGCCTCCACCCCTCCTTCCCTTTGGAGCTATGCCCTCCTCCACGCCGCTCTTCTCCTTAATCTCCGCTCCCACCCTCAGCATCCTTCCTCCTCCCCTACAGAGCTCTGGTCCAACGCAAAACCCGACGCTGCCGGCCTTCGCGTTTGGGGCTGCAAGGCCTTCGTTCTCATCCCACCCGCCGACCGCTCCCGCGCCGCTGGCAAGCTTGCTCCTCGCGCCCTGGAATGCGTTTACCTTGGGCACAATCGCAACTCCCTAGGCTACCTCTTCCTCCACCGTCCCACCAATCGCCTCATCCGCAGCGGCGACGTCGTCTTCGACGAATCCGTCCCCTATTACTCCTCTCCTCCCCCTGATCCTCTCCCTCCTCCCACTCGTCCCCTTGCTTGGATCGACACCGTCCTCCCGCCCCTTCTCCCTCCAGCCCCTCTCCTCCCACTCGTCGCAGCTCCGCTCCCGCCCTCCTCCTCCGCCAATGTCTACAACCATGCCGCACCCGCTTCCCCCGCTCACTCGGCCGCACCCCCTCACCCCCCTCCCTCCCCCTCTCCCTCTCCCTCCTTCCAGCAGCCGGGTCAGCAGCAGCAGCAGCAGCAGCAGCAGCAGCAGCAGCCGCAGCAGCAACAGCAGCAGCAGCAGCAACCGGGACAGCAGCCGGGGCAACAGCAGCAGCAGCAACCGGGCCAGCAGCAGCACCAGCAGCAGCAGCCGGGCCAGCAGTAGCAGCAGCCGGGCCAGGAGGAGCAGTAGCAGCGGCAGCCGGGACAGCAGCAGCAGCAGCGGCAGCCGCAGCAGCAGCTGCCTCAGCAGCAGCAGCCTCAACAGCCTCAGCAGCCGCAGCACCAACACGGTCAGCCGCAGCCGCAGCAACAAGGGCAGCAGCTTCAGCAGCACCAGCGACAGCAGCGGCGTCGGGCCACCTCCCGTTCCTCCTCCTTCCTCCTCCCTTACATCCATACCCGCTCTGTGGACAAAATCCTTGGGGCTCCTCCTCTTGCCTCCATTCAGCTCCTTGAGGACTCCCATGAGGAGTTTCTTAACATTCAGGAGCACACTCCTCTCCTTGCCGCCCTCTACCTTGACTTCCTGGGCTTTCCGGTCCTTGGCGCCACCACTACCCCCACCATCTTCACTCCCTCCACCTTCCAGGAAGCCATCACCTGCCCTGATGCGGATAAATGGATGGCAGCGATCTTCCTCAAGTGTGAGGCTTTCATTCGCAACGACTCCTTTGTCGATGTCCCTCTCCCTGCTGGCGCTAATCTCGTTGACGGCAAATGGGTCTTTCGGGTGAAGAAGCTGCCGGGTGAGGAACCAGTATACAAGACCCGCTACTGCGCCAAGGGGTTCACGCAGACCTGGGCTGAGGACTACTGGTTCACCTACGCCCCCATCGCCAAACAACCCACCCTTCGCGCCGCCATGGACATTGGTGCACGTGACGACATGGAGATCGACTCCATGGACGTCTCCAATGCGTTCCTGCAGGGTGACCTGCATGAGCGCATTTTCCTTCGGCGGCCCCCCGGGTTCCACGCAGCCTTTCCCGAGAACACTGTCTGGCAGCTGCGTCGCCCCGTCTACGGCTTGAAGCCGGCGCCGCGTGAGTGGCATGCGAAGCTGGCTTCCACCTTGGGGTCTCTTGGCTTCTCTGCTTCCCACTCCGACGCCAGCCTCTTCATCCGCTCCTCCCCCCGCCGCTTCTTCATTCTAGTATATGTCGACGACATGATCTTGCTCTCTGACACCAAGGCCGACATGGAGCAGGTGAAGCTGTCGCTGCAGCAGTGGCTCAAGTGCAAGGACCTTGGCGGCCTCACTCACTACCTCGGCATGACCATCACGCGCAACCGCCCTTCTCGCACAATTACCCTCTCCGAGTCCCATTACATCAGGCAGGTCTTGGAGAAGTTCGACATGACGCAGGCCAAGCCTGTCTCCACCCCGCTCCCCTTTGGTCACCAACTCGCTCCACCCACCTCCCCCACCTCCTCCCCCCACCCCTACGCCGAGCTCGTTGGGTCCTTGATGTACGCAATGATGTGCACCCGCCCCGACCTTGCCTACCCCCTACAGCGTGCTTGCTCACTTTGTCCGCACCGGTCGTCACTCTGAGGAGCACTGGAAAGCTGCCAAGCGGGTCCTCCACTACCTTCCCGGGACCACGGACCTTGCCCTCACCCTCGGCGGCCCTTCCCGTCCCCTTCTCTCGGGCTTCAGTGACTCCTCCTGGGCCGACACGCAGCCGGACCGCCGCTCCTCCCAGGGCTACGGCTTCACCCTTGGCAGCAGCCTCATCAGCTGGCGCTCCACCCGCTCCTCCGCTATCTCTCTCTCCACCTGCGAGGTAGAGCTCTACGCTGGCACCATGGCCGCCCACGAGTCGCGCTGGCTCTACTTCCTTCTTGCAGAGCTTGGCGCCCCCTAGACGTGCCCCACTCTCTGGTGCGACAACGCCAGCACCATCCATCTCACTCAGGACCCCGTCTATCACGCCCGCTCCAAGCACATCGAACTCCGCTACTTCTTCGTTCGCGAACTCGTCCAGAAGGGCCTCCTTGCCGTTCTCAAGATTGCAACCGAGGCCAACTTGGCCGACATCTTCACTAACGCCCTCCTTCGCCCCGCGCACTCTGCTTTCCTCCGCCTCATTGGCCTTGCTCGCCCGGGCGCCCCTTGACTCAGGGGTTGTTCTCTTCTTGTGTTAGCATGCTAAGGAGTTGTGTTAAAATATATATTGTGTAGCATGCCAACACATGTGACTGTACACCAATTGTGGTGTACAGTTGGGTTGGGACTACACCCAACTTTGGGTGTAGTCTTGCACTTTGGGGTGCCAATCCACCCAATTGTGGTGGAGCCCCCAAATGCAACCCTCTTGACTTGTGGGTACCTCACTTCCCACAATTGAGGTTCCCCCAAGCCAAGTGGGCCTAGGGTTGCCTCACATCTACAAAGTATGGGCAACCCAACCCACTTGACCTATGGTTCCCTCATCCCCCCAAGTGAGGTCAACCCAACCTATGGTCACTTTGATCCTTCCCTTCCATCCTTTCCTTCCAACCTTTCCTTCCAACCATGTATGCTAGGTTGCCTCTCTAATCCAATCACTTGTTCAATTCACAATCTTCACACCCCAAACCCTAACACAGGCAGCACGCGGCAGGAGAGAGTGCTGCAGCGGAGGCGGTGCTCGTGGTGAAGCGGGACGGTGCGCAGCGATGGGGCAAGCTGTACGGGCCGCGCAGGGGCCTGGCGCGGGCCGTACGAACCTCGCGCGGGTTGTACGGGCTGCACGCGGGCCTGGTGCCGCCCATACGAGTCGCTTGCGGGCCTGGCGCAGGCCGTACGGGCCCCCCGCGGGCCTGGCGCAGCCCATACGAGTCGCGCGCGGGCCTGGGGCAGGCCGTACGAGCCGCGCGCGGGCGTGGAGCAGGCCATACAGGCCGCGCGCGGGCCTGGCGTAGGTCGCGCTAGCCGCTTGGGGCGACGAGGGGCAACGCGCGGGTCCCTGGGGGCGCTGGGATGGGCGACGGGGGGCGACGCGCGGGTCGACGAGGCAGAAAACCGCTGCGCGCCTCGGGGCGCATGGCGGGCAGAAAACCGCCGCGCGCCCTGAGCGCTCGGCGGGCAGGAAACCGTCATGCGCCCCGAGCGTGTGGCGGGAAGAAAAAACGTCGCGCTCCCCGTGGCGCGCGACAGACAGGACAGCAGCGGAAGCTAACGGTGGGCCCACAGGCCAGGAGCGTAACCGTTCTGATGGCATGTCAGAAACATAGGCGAGAATCAGAAACTGGAAAGAGGGCTTTAACTAGCAGGTAGTTGAGTACATATAGCAAACCCTAATTCGGGCTGTACTCGCTATGGAGTACCCCACTGCAGGCTAGACAAACATCACATTCTGACATTGACTACCCGCGATTGTTGGCCTTTG